GATTTTGGTATGTTGTGTTTTCATTCTCATTTGATTCAAGGAATATTTGAATTTCATTTTTCATTTCTTGTCTTACCCAGTCTTTCTTACGGAAGCTGTTTTTCAGTTTCCATGTGTTTACTCTTTTTCCATTGATCTTCCTACTATTGATTTCTAATTTGATAGCGTTATGATCTGAGAAGATGCTTTGCAGTATTTCAGTGTTTTTAAATTTATTAAAGCTTGTTTTATGGCCTAATATATGGTCTATCATGGAAAATGTTCCATGTGCACTGGAGAAGAATGTATATTGTGCTGTTATCGAGTGAAGGGCTCTGTAGATGTCTATAAGGTCAAGCTGGTGTATTGTACTGTTTAGCTCTTCTGCATTTTGGTGAGTTTCTGTCCAGTTGTTCTATCTTTCAGTGAAAGTGGTGTATTTAGTCTCCCACTATGAGTGTGGAGTGATCTATTTGACTTTCCAACTCTTTTAAAGTCTGATTTATGTATTTTGGGGCTCTTTCATTGGGCCCATAGATATTTATTATGGTTATAACTTCTTGTTCAATTGACCCTTTAATCATTATATAATGTCCTGCCTTGTCTCATATGGTGGTTTTGTCTTAAAGTCAATTTGATCAGAAATTAAATTAATTAAGAGCCACTCCTGCTCTCTTACGGTTGCCATTTGCTTGATATATCTTTTTGCAATGTTAGATTTTTAGTCTATTTTTGTCTTTGTCTCTAAGGTGTGTCTATTATTGACAAGTATGAATTGGTTGCTTTCCTTTTGTTATGTGTTTTTTCATGGTTTCCCTGGTTTCTTTGTTCCATATTATTTTCTGTGCTGAGCTCATTATATTTATGGATCATGTTATCATTTGCTTTGTTGCTTTTATTTTAGTATTTGCTGAATATTCGTGCTTGTCCTCTTTTTTTATTGTGATATGAAGGTTTATAATTTTTCTTTGAGGTTAGCCTGTGATTTATAATTTTCTCTCCAAGTTTAGAACAGTCCATTCTATCTTGCAACTCTCTTGACTTCCTCACCATTTAGAAGTTCTGTAACTACACAGTATTTTCCCTCTTTTTGGTTTGTAGTTGTCCTCACTTGTCAATTGATGTCTCTGGTTCTCTGTTTACAATCTTGTAAGGTTATTTTCCTTGGAGATATCCATACCTTTGGTTTCTGGGTTACGTCATCTTGTGTATTAATGGTCAGTCATTATTTGGTAGTTTTGGTTCTCTGTTCAAAGGACTCCCTTTAGTATTTCTTGTTAGGTTCATCTTGTTTTAACAAATTCCCTTAGTGTCTGCCTATCTCTAAATCTCCTAATTTCACTATCATATTTCAGTGACAATTTTGCCGGGTATACAATTCTTGGTTGAAAATTTTTCTCTTTCAGGATTTTATATACACCATCCCATTGCTTTCTCACTCTCATGGTTTCTGCTGAGAAATCAGAGCTTATTCCTACTGGTTGTCCTTTGTAAGTGACTTTTTGTTTTTCTCATGCTGCTTTCAGGATTCTTTCTTTTTCTTTGGTTTTCATGAGTTTGATGATGATATGTCTTGGTGATTTTCTTTTGGGGTCTATCCTGTTTGGGGTTCGTAGGACTTCCCGAATGGCTATATTCTCATCTTTCTTCATATCAGGGAAGTTCTCCTCTAACAAATCTTGGACAACTTTCTCAATGGCTTTATATTTTTCTTCTCCTGTTCTGGAATCCCAATGACATAAACATTCTTCCTTTTGATGGTATCCCACATGAACCTTACTTAGGCTTTCTTTATTTTGTTTTGAAATATTCAGGTATTTTTCTTCAGTCTCCTTAGTTCTGTCTTCCATTGCATCAATTCTACTCCTCTGCCCTTTCATTGTGTTATCTATTCCTGACAATTCCTTGGTATTAATCTTCTGAATTTCTGTCTATAGATTTAGAATCATTTCTAAATTTTCATTTATTTTCTCATTTTTTTCTTATATTTTCTTCCAAAATTCTTCTAGAGTTTTGTCTGTGTTTTTCTTGGTCTATCTCTCAATCTTTTCAAGATACCTAAATATAATTCTTTTGAATTCCTTATCAGAGAGTTCCAATGCTGCTTCTTCCTCAGAGATGTGTTCTGGGTCTGTATCCTGCACTTCCTTGTTTCTACCACTTTATCTTGCTTCTTTATGTGGAATGTGATGATCTGTTGTCTCCGAGACATCATGGTGTTTTTGTATTTAGATCTCTGTTAATTGTTTGTGAAGGGCAGCCAACTGTGAGCCAGGCTCTTTTTGGTGGTTGTTTATTGTTGGGCCATTGTTTCAGAAGGAAGTGATGACTCTTACTCAGTAAGTGAAGGTGTGGGTGTAGTTTTCCCATATGTGGACTGTTGCTATATTCCACTCAGTTAGACAAAAATATCAATTGAATAACTATTGAAAAAGTAAAAGCAAAGGGACAAAAGTCACACAGTGTAATCACACAGGAATAGTAACCAAAAAAAAAAAAAAGAAAGAAAACATTGCAATATATGGGAAGAGAGCAATAAGGGAAAAAAGGTAGAGAAGGAGAATATGAAGAAAAATATGGGAAAAATGCAAAAAGAAAAACAAGGAATGGGGTTAACCACAAGAAAGAAATGAAAAGAAAAATATTGCAACCAGGAACACGAAAAGAAAAAAGCTAAAAACCAGAACATGGGAGGGGAAGAATAAAGAATAATAGTAAAAAGGACAAAAGTGATAATAATAGTAGTAGTTTTAAAACAAACAAACTAAAAAACAGAAAAATGAAAAAAAAATCAGGGCAGGGCAGGGCACCCAGCCTTCATCTGTGTATGCAGACTGGGATGGAAATCCTGCCGGCCTAGAAGGTGGGTGGGATTGAGGGATGGCTGCACTTCCGTTCACCAAGAGGGTGTGAGGTATAAGTGGAATGTCGCACCTTTCCAGTCGTCCAGGTCCGGAGTGTCCTAGGGGTTCCTGACAAGTGGAGCCTGTTCCTAAGTCCCTGGAATCTGAAAGAATGCTGTCACTTTAAATATCCAAAATGGTCAAATCTCTTGTAAATATTCAAAATGGCTACACTCTCCAGAACGGCAAAAGTCTACAGCTCAGCTCACTTCACTGCTTCCGCTTTTATTCACCAGCCACCAGAGCAGTACTCTGTGCAGTCCCTGACTAGCAGGGCTGATATTTAGGTTAATTCTTAGGTCCTACCACTACTTGGCAATATCCAAGCTGTCTGTGCCATCAGCCTCGCTGCCAGACTGCAGCTCTGTATGTCTCCACTTTTGGTGTCTTCATGCAAATTCTTCTGCTAGTTGGAGTTTAGTCCACTTCTATATCCTTCCCTTCAAAGCTCAGGGGTCCAGCATTACCTTCTGTATCTGTGTTAACTGTCTCCCCTTTTCTCTGTTGAAGAGGGTCTGTGCAGTCTTTCTCCCTATTCCACCATCTTACCAGAACCCATCCTTTGATTCCTTGACTGGTTTCTTCCATGGGCATTGAGTATGGATCCAAATTAAATGAAATCCTTGATGACTTTAATCTTTCTCTGTGTATCATGACATTGCTTATAGGACAAGCTGTGAGATTTTTTGTTTTCTTTGTTGAAGTATATTCCATAATGAAGGCTATAGTCCTTGATCTTCATCAGTAAGTGCTTAAAGTCCTCTTTGCTTTCAGCAAGCCAAGTTGTGTGATATGCATATTGCAGACTGTTCATGAGTCTTCCTCCAATCCTGAAGCTGCATTCTTCTTCATATAGTCTAGCTTCTCAGATTATTTGCTCAACATATGGACTGAATAAGTACGGTGAAAGGACACAACCCTGATATACACCTTTCATGATTTTTAATTATGTAGTATCCCCTTGTTCTATAAATATTGAGACCAAACTAATTGAAAAAAGAATAAGCATCTCTTGGATTATTCCTATAAAAAGGCCAAACAAATGAGGTTATTTAAAAATAATGATACCATGAATTCTAGTAGTGCCTAAACCAACTTTTCTGTCCTGCCTGAAACTAACTTCTTTGATAGTCTTACATTCAGCATTTCTTACTGTCCCCCCCAAAATTGTCACCTTTTAATTGCTTTTGGCTGAACAAACTTATAATATAATTGAAAAAGAATACATTAAGGGTTTCCTGAGTCTTCATCATACTTCTCTCAAGCTTCAAACAAGGATCTCAAAAATATAAAGTTCTTTTCTAGATCTATCCTTACCCAAAATAGATGATATCCTTCTATGCTCTCCTGATTTGGAGTTCTCAAGCTACCTCTAACTATCTATTGACTAAAGTGGTTAAAAGGGAGTACAATATATCTAAAGGAAAGCTTCAATATTGTAATAGCATATTTCACCTCCCAGAAAAGCAGAACAAAAGCATAATTATGATCAAAACACCCATCTTACCTCCTCCTTAGATTCCTGATAGTCATATTGATCTAAGCAATACTGAGAGATCTCCCCTGTGACCTAGCTAAGGGAGTCCCAAAGGAAGGGCTAAGAATGAAAAAATTCACTCACTCACAAGACATGAACTGTGTATGTGTTTAAAATTGTATACTTCAACCTCTTGATTGAAGCACATGATCCATATCTAGAGGAGACTATAAAATGCCTAGATGTGTTGTGGGCTGAAGCCTTTACTCATCAGCAAGTCCCTTTGAGTAGATCCACTCTGGAAACTCACCAAATTGTGCATTAGCCTTGTCTTTCTCTAAACCAAAACCCTGCTAAATCATTTAAGTCTAAACTAAATTCCTCCACCCCAAATTCTATATAATCTTGTGAGAAGATGCGTTTCCACTTGATGTTTCTACCTTACACAAACAAGAATTTCAAATAAATCCAGTGTTTTTATTTTTCAGAATTAAGAGAATTGTGATGTCCTTTAACATTATATACACAAGGCAAGATTTCACTCATTAGCAAATTATGTTTACATTTTATCCTTTAGAGTTGAATAATAGTCTTTGGAACAATCAAAATTTAGGAACTAAGAAGAAAATTATGGTCATTACCTCCTCCAATTAATGATTGACACTGTTTATTAAATGACCGACATACTGCATTATAACAGAAGCCATCTCCTGAATCACAAGACTGTCCATTGCGTGCGTAAGTGTCTGGCACACAGAGACCGTTAATTCCATTGCAATATTCAACAAAATCACATTCTTTATCAATTGATTCCCTGCAAAGTGTACCAGCTGGTTTTATCTAGAAAGGAAAGGAATATACGAAAAGATCACAGGTTAGTGATAGTTAAGTTTTCTTTTTATTTAGGCTCTAAATTTCCATCTATTTTCCCTGAGTTTCTAATGTTGTTGTTGTTATGTGCCGTCGAGTCAAACCCGACTCATAGCGACCCCTCCTTGGGCTTCCGAGGCAGTATCACTACGGAAGTAGGATTGCCCAACCTTCCTTCCGATAGCAGTTGAAAATATATATATATACATACGCTCAGACACACACACACACACATATGTATATATATACACACACATACATATATAAATATATACATATATATATATATATATATGCACACATATATATATATACATCTTGTTAATTGCTAACATCACATAGAGACTTAGGTCATTGAATTTATTGTGCAAAAAAGGAGTAGATACTGTGTGTGAAAGAAGCTAAATACTCAAATATCAGATGACTGACATAAAAAAAAAGAAGAAAGAAAATGGAGCAAAAGGATTAATATTAAAATTATTTGTAACTCATCTCTGGCTATGCTTATGTAGGTAGCCTCAGGTTTCTCTACATCCCACTCTTTAAAGCAGAAATCAGTAACCATTTACCAGAAAGCAAATAAACATCACAAATATTTAATAAAAGAAAAAATTATATGTATATATACATATATATATACAGAGAGAGAGAGAGGAGAAAGTATATTTCACATAGCACAACATAAACAACTTAAAAAACAGCTTCCCAAAATTTATATCTCTGATCTCTTCAGCAGATACTCTTTGGCTTATAGCTTCCAGATTTTCCTTACTGTATAGCTCCTTTGCCAAGCAACATCTAAATATCATGTCTGCAATCACCTTTTCCCTTAAGTCAAACACCAGTTCCTCATAATTATGATCACACTCACATTCATGAAAACCACTATTATTCTTTTCTATTGTTATTACTGTTGGTTTAATATGCATGTGATTTTCACTTGTCACAATACTTTTTTTCAATACATTGGTTGTTATTATTGCTATTAGAGACCATTGGGGAGCTCTATTGATGTAGTGCCTAAGACATTTGACTGCTGACCAGAAAGTTGGCAGTTCAAATCCACCAGCCACTCGGCAAAAGGAAGATTGAGTAATCTATTTCCATAGTGATGCTGCCTCGGAAACCCAAGGAGGGGTCGCTATGAGTCGGGTCTGACTCAACAACACGTAACAACAGCAACAACAGGGGCCACTGAGACAGTTTCAACTTATGTTGTTGTTGTTGTTGTTATGTGCTGTCAAGTTGGACCCGACTCATAGCAACCCCTCCTTGGGTTTCCGAGGCAGTATCACTATGGAAGTAGATTTCCCAACCTTCCTTCTGAGGAGTAGCTGGTGGGTTTGAACTGCCAGCCTTCTGGTTAGCAGTCAAGTGCCTTAGGCACTATGCTACCAGAGCTCCCTTTCAACTCACAGTGACCCTATATACAACAGAACGAAACACTGCCCCATCCTGTGCCATCCTCATAATTCTTGCTATACAATCAAATGAGAATGAAAACACAACATACTAAAATCTTTGGGATACAACAAAAGCAGTAATCAGAGGGTAATTTTCAGCAATAAATGCACACATCAAAAAAGAAGAGAGCCAAAATCAACAGCTTAACCCAGTATCTCCAACAGTTAGAAAAAGAGCAGCAAAAAAAAGCCTTTGGTCATCAGAAGAAAGAACATAAAAAATATTTCAGCAGAAATAAATGAAACAGAAGAAAAATGTGAGAGCGAAGCAGGACACACAGCCAGCAACTAGGGAAGCATGGAAAGTAGTAGTAGGAAAGTATGCACATCGCAGCTCAATACCTACCTACCCCCAAGCCCAGTAAATAAACAATGGTATGGACACACACACATACACTAAAAGAAATGAAACAGAAAAATGGGAAAAAATCAAGAACACTAGAAGTTGGTTCTTTGAGAAGATTAATAAAATCAGCAAACTAATGACAAATTTAACAAAGGAAAGAAAGAGAAGATGCAGATAACACAAATAAATAATGGCATGGGCAACATCACAACAGAACCAATAGAAATAAAAAAATAGTATCAGGATACTATGAAGAACTGTACTCTAACAAATTTGTAAAGCCTAGAAGAAATGGACAAATTTCTAGAAACATACTACTTACTTAAACAAATACTGAGGTAGAAAATTTGAACTGGCCCTTAACAAAAGAAAAAAATTGAACAGGTCACAAAAAAAAAAAAAAAAAAACTACCAACAAAAAATGTTCTGGCCCAAACAACTTCAATGGAGAATTCTACTAAACATTTAGAGAAGAGGTGATAGCAATCCTACTCAAACTATTCCAGAGCAAAGAAAAGGATGGAATGCTCCAAAAATAATTTTGTGAATCAGGCATAACCTTCATGCCAAACCAGGAAAAGACAGGAAAAGGAAGAAAAACTACAGACCAATATCCCTCATGAATATAGACACAAACATCTTCAACAAAACCCTAGGCAATAGACTCCAACAATATTTCAAAAAATTAATACATCTTGACCAAGTGGGATTCAAAGCAGGTATACAAGGATGGTTCAGCACTGGAAAATCAATCAATGTAACCCATCACATAAGTAAAATACAGAAAAAGAACCACATGATCATATCAACAAATGCAGAAAAAGCCTTTGATAAAATCCAACACCCATTCCTGATAAAAACTCTCAGAAAAATGGGAATAGAAGGAAAATTCCTCAATAAAATAATGGGCATATATGCAAAACAAAGAGCCAATGTTATTCTCAACAAAACAAAACTGACAGTATTCTCCTTGAGAACAAGAACCAGACAAAGATGCCTTCTGTCACTGCTTCTATTCAACATTGTATTGGATTCCTTACCAGGGCAATAAGGCAAGAAAAGGAAATAAATAAAAGCATCCAAACTGTTAAGGAAAAATTAAAACAATCCCTATTAGCAGATGGTTTGATTCTATACATAGAAAATCCCAGAAAGTCAGCAAAAAAAAACTACTGGAACTAATTGAAAGATTCAGCATACTGGCAGGATACAAGATCAACATACAAAAATCAGTTGGATCCTGTACACCAACAAAGAGATCTCTGAAAAGTAAATAAGGAAAACAATACCATTCACAACAGCTACTAAAAAGATAAAATGCTTGGGAGTAAATCTTGCCAGGGACACAAATGATCTATTAAAAAAAAAAACAACTACAGAACACTACTTCAAGAAACTGTAAGAGATCTAGGGAGCTCTGATAGCATAGTGCCTGAAGCACTTGACTGCTAAGCAGAAGACTGGCAGTTCAAACCACCAGCCACTCCCTAGATGGAAGGTTGGGCAACCTACTTCCGTAGTGATACCACCTCAGAAACCCAAGAAGGGGTTGCTATGAGTCGGGTCCAACTTGAGGGCACATAACAACAACAACAACATGTTATTGTTCTTTTCCATCAAGTCAGAACCAATTCATAGTGACCCCTCCTTGGGTTTCTGAGGCGGTATCACTACAGAAGTAGATTGCCCTATCTTCCTTCTGAGGAGTGGCTGGTGGGTTTGAACCATCAGCCTTCTGGTTAGCAGTCAAGTGCCTTAGGCACTACGCTACCAGAGCTCCTAACAACAACATAAGAGATCTATAGAAACAGAAGAACATACCATGCTCATGGATAACAAGACTGAACATAGTGAAAACATCAATACTACCCAATGCAATCTATAGATTTAATGCAATCCTGATTCAGATTCCATCAAAATTCTATAAGCAAATGGAAAAAAAAAAATCACTGATTTCATATGGAAAAGAGAGAGCTTGGATAAGCAAAAGAAGAAGAACAAAATAGTATCTCAAACCTACTAAAATCCACAGTAGTCACCATAGCCTGCTATTGATACAAAACGGACACATGGACAAGTGGAACAGAACTGAGAATGCAGAAATCGGTCTATCCATCTATGGACATCTGATCTTTGACAAAGAGCCAAAATCCATTAAATGGGGAAGAAACAGTCTCTTTAACAAGTGGTGCTGGTAAAACTGCATATCCATTTGCAGAAAAATGAAACAAGATCCATATCTCACACCATATGCAAAAACTAACTCAAGTTAGATCAAAGATTTAAATGTAAAACATAAAAGTATAAAGTTCATCAAAGAAAAAATAGGGGCAAATTTAAGCATCTCAATATATGGCATAAATAGACTATCAAACATAACTAAAAAGGTATAAACAGCAGAAGATAAAAATGTATGACTAAGACCTTCTAAAAACTATATTCTTACATGCATCAAAAGGCTTCATAAGAGTAAAAAAAAGAACCAACAAATTGGGAAAAAAAAAATATTTGGCAATGACATATCCAACAAGAGATGTATCTCTAAAATTTATAGAAAACTATAACACCTCAAAGGGAGCTCTGGTAGCATAGTGGCTAAGGCACTTGACTGCTAACCAGAAGGCTGGCGGTTCAAACCCATCAGCCACTCCTTGGAAGGAAGATGGGGCAATCTACTTCCGTAGTGATACTGCCTCAGAAACCCAAGGAGGGGGTTGCTATGAGTCGGGTCCGACTTGACGGCACATGACAACAAAAACAACAACTTAACACCTCAACATCAAAAAGACAAACAGTGTCACTGAAAAATGGACAGAACAAATGAACAGACATTTCAGCAAAGAAGATATTCAGGCAGCCAACATGCACACGAAGAAATGCTCATTATCATTAGATATTAGGGAGATGCAAATCAAAACAACAATACGATACCATCTCACCCCAGCAATAATGGTAAAGTTTAACAAGACGGAAAATAACAAAGGCTGGTGATGACGTGGAGAGATTGGGTCTCTCATACACTGCTGGTGGGACTGTAAAATGATACAATCACTGTGGAAAGTGGTATGACAATACCTTAAAAAGTTGGACATAGAAATACCATTTGATCAAGCAACCCTATTACTAGGTACATATCCTAAAGAAGTGAGAACCAGGACATG